GCCACATATATGGGAAATTAACCTTTAACTGCATTTTAACTGTGTGTGTCACCTTGTGTGTCTGTACCAAGGCCAAACATTCCAAGGTATGTAAACTTTTGATCAGGCCATTTGGGTGATTTCTGTCATTATGATTTAAAAAGGAGCCAAATAGCTATGTGATAATAAATGACTTCTTATGATCACTATGCCTGAATAAAAGAGAGTTTTTTGACATGATCAGTTATATTTTTAATATGTCAAAACGTCACGATTTCTGCCAGGGTATGTAAATGTTTGAGCACAACATGGTATGGGCCCTATGCTATGATCAACTGCTGGTTATGAGTAACCCTGTACATATTTATGCATAGACGCATTTAGTGCACTACTTTATCGCATGGGTTAACCCAGTGTACCTAATTCAATCTTTTTCTCTTCTTCTTGTATGTTGATTCTACACGTTTATCTAAACTCAATATATAAGGTTTACTTTTACTAATGGACTGTTGTCTGCTCTTTGGGGGCAGCATTGCACCAAATTTTAATGTGCCATGGGTAAGCTATTGGTAAAATTTAGAGATTATGAATTCAACTGGGTGTGTCAGAGTAGTCAAGGTGTTAAAATGGTGAAGGCCATCAACAGAGGATCCAACTAAATGAGCGGCTCCTTCGGGGATGGTGCCACAGTAATGCCCAGTATCTATTAAATGTCCCACAATATACATCCGCTGTCAAGCATGTTGTCCAGTGATACAGACAAACTGCCAACCTGTTAAAAAACAAACAAACTGCCAAATGACCACACAATACTCTCCAGATGACTGTTTGCCGTTGGATGTATAAAAAAAAGAAGATGGATCCCCTGGGTGATACCATATAATTCCCAAGCAAGTAATGCAAGAACGTGGAAATAAAAAACACCTCCACCACAGTGAATCCCTTATTACCAAGCAACTCTCACATCTCTGTATTAACCCCCACAACAAAGGTCAATATGTGCTCCAACACCAGATGAATTCCTTTCCTTCTTAATCAGCACGGACTCTGACTCTTGGAAGACCTCAGCAGCTCAGGTGGGTGGATGGATGATTCAGGGTGTATTTACATCTTAAAAGACAATGAAAACCTATATAGTGCTCGCTGTTATTTTATTTACAAAAAGGATAAAAATAGAAAGCCACTCACATTTAGTAAGACCAGACATGAGCATACATAGCTTTAAAAAATTCCCATCTGCAACAGTCAGGGCAAATGGAAATGAATTGGATCCTTCAATGTAAAACCTGTATTGTTGTCTTTCTCTCTCTCAGTGCTGTGAAGCAATGCCCCGGCTATGCCCCTAGGCCTTTCATCATAATGATGTCATCAAGGAGCCAGCAGATAGAAACTTTTTGACCCTTCCCGTTGAATGCCTCCCAGCCCTTTAAGATTTCTAAAAGCCAGGAAGCAGAGGTGGGAATTCAGGTCATGTGACTGCTGTGATTGACTGTCACAGTGATCACATGATCAGAAAGCTTCCGATTGCAAGTATGCATCGGGGGCTTACCGATCTCCCACTGGCTACAGTGCTGGGAGCATGCTTTCAGCACGGTAAATTGTTTACACAGGGCCACATTTATGCTCAACATTAAGGCCCACCCACCAAAAGGCTGCATATATTTGTACTCCGAGTGTGAAGTGGTTAAAGACAGATATGAGATAACAGTTGAAAGAATGTGCCAGCTTGTGCCTGCTGGCGACTTAGAAACCAATGACATTATGCAGCCTGCACAGTAAAAAGAATTTCTTTAGTGGCAATAGTAATACTGCCAATAAATGATTTACTTCCTGCTGCTTCTGCAATTGTGAAAATCCATAGTTTAAGTAGAACCCTGCATTGGCCTGAATCTGAACCTCATCCCTACATGGAAGCTCAGAGAGGCCACACCTGATGAAGCAGAGGTAGCTGGGTAAGTGATCTGTATCCAGGTGAGAGCATGTAGCTGGGTGTCAGAACCAGTCTGCCAGGCCAGACACTAATAGCACACAGCAGATTCAGAAGACCTAGCTAATGTGGGGAGCACCTCACCAATTGTTACCAGAGTACTCCAGTTCCAGTAGGGTGTCCTTTTGTAATATACTGTACTTTGTAACAGTTCCTGCTAATCAGGTGAGTAGAACTAGTAGAGCTGATATACTGTATGCAGTACTGACATAAATGTCTGATGCAGGAAGGCTGTGGTACTGATTGGGATAACAGAGTCCATATTTCTAAGTGGCAGTCTGTATTGCAGAAATCCTGGGCCTCAATAACTAGCACCAATAACTAATGAAGTTGTACTAGGTAGTAATGTGGTGTGGGTTAAGAAACTTCTCACTCAGTTCTCAGAAATAGTATTGAAATTGATAGCTTTGTCGCTGGTGGGGGGCCCCCTTTTTCTCTTGGTCCTGCCATGGAGATAGTGGTGTCTCTGGCAGTGACCTTGTTCTTCTGCCTCCAGGACCGACTGTCCTGCATCTCATGGCAATCAGCAGTCAGGAAACTCTCTCTCCATTCTCCGCTTCAGACTGATCCAGCCTGAGGCCAACTGGACCGGTTCTCCATCCTAACACAGGTCATGCCTCTCCCTGCAGCTTCTTCTCAAGCAGTTGCTGGGCTTCTGATTATATAGGATCCCACCCCTTTGTCAGCTCTTCTGGAAAATGTAGTCTGTTCCCAGCTTGTCCGGATACAGAAGTCCTGCTATTAGCACACAAGTTCAACAATGCTTTGCTTGGCTGTATAGAAGTCTATAATAACTAATCTGCAGAACACTGCCATCCTGTGGTTAATTTACATCCTGCAATCAACAACAATGCAGTGTGTTACATAGAGATTTATACAGACTATCGAGTCATGTTTATGCAGGTTTCATAATCACACTTGTGATGCAAAGTATGCATGTGTTTGCCATCCTGAACCCATTTTGCCTTATTACTTTGTACCCATTTGAAAAACTGCAAGTTACAGTTACTTCCTGTCGTATAATTCAGCCATTCAGTTGTTAAACAAACAGAATAATCATGTCAGACAATGGTGTTGGAAGTGGTATGACAGTGGTGCCCAACAGTACTACTCTAGAAGGCAAGCAGGCAAACTACCACCTCTGCAATAACGACCCCCTATTACTAGATTCCTGCTGCAATTATGATCCTAGTACACAGGCCAGGTCAGGGGACTTGGGTGATTTGGTCATAAAATTGCAGAAACTGAACCAATCATATTGGACTCTGTTTGCTCAACAGGGAGAACTGGCCATTAATGCCATAGAGGGCAAAACAAGAAGGTTAAGGCTTCCTGCATACTGGACGTTTGCCCAACTCTTCTGAATGCCTTTTCTCCTAGAAGGAGTTACAAACTTGCCTAAAGCCACGTTTTACAAATGTGATTAAGCGTGTCAAGTATTTGGGCATTCATTTATTTAACTGAATGTATAACGCTGAAGCTCTAAATGTGCCTAGCGCTTAGGCACATATAGATGTGCCTAAACACAAACAGGCATTTAGACACAAACAGGCATTTAGGCATTATGTTAGGAGCAAACAGTAGAGAGTGAGCACATTCCCACATTCAGTGGGATTTTGCGGAGCAAATTTAGGAAAGGAAGGCAGAGCAGGGTACACTTTGCATGCATTTTTCAAGATGTGTTGTGTGATACTGCCATTACAAATGACACAGATGACTAATACTTAAGGTATTAATCCTGCACCTCCACATGGAAGACCAGGAATTACTTGAAAAGATAGTTAATTTAGTTAGGTGTTTTGGAGAGTATGGAGAGTAGTAACATTAGGGGACCTTAACAATAACTTCATTAGCAGAAAGCACGGAAATCTGCAAAACATGGCAGCACAGATATGTTGCAGGGGAAGGGACCACATAGGATGGCCTGGTTGGCCATAGGATGGCCTGGTTGAAGTTATGTGGATGGATTTGTACTGTTGCTGTTGGCCAGAGAAATCTTGCAAGAAAAAGATAGAATCAACCACAATTTGAGGTTCCCTGAACTGTTAGCAACAGCCATAGAATGTCAGGAGCAGAGACATATAAGCAGAAGAATTTTTTTTTTTGAAGCACAGACAGAAATACTCCTTTGAAGGGCATATAGTGGGCACCCCCTTTGCAGTAACAAGTGCTACCTCTGAGATGGGCAAGGGTGGAGTATTGGCAGATCCCTGACTCCAAGACTGTCTGCTAGGGTTGTGCCAAGTCAAAAGGATGCCCTTTGGGCTAAACATCATGCCTGCCACTTTCCAAGGGTTGATGGAATCTGGATAGCTCAAGCTACAGTGACTTATTAGTGATTATTCATTTTCTAATGAATTCCAAAATTTTAGAACTGTTAGATTTTGAATAAATTGAAAATTGATCAACCAATCCAAATTTTGTGTGAAGAACAGCTGGCTGCTGTGTCCATAACAACCAATGACTCATCAGCTGTCAGTGGGTTTCCCCTCTGATACTTCAATGTAAACAAAAAAACAGACAAAGAGAAGATCGAGTGGTTTCCCACCTAATAGAAGAAATATGGTTACTATTGTGGCCAAGTGGTTTATGGTATTAGCAGAAACCAACAAACTGGTCCTGTAAATTGGTCAAAACAAACCAATAACCAACTAACTGGTCCCATAAAAAGCAAGTTACAGTGACTGTCTAATCATTTGGCCGATTACTGTATTTTTCACTCCATAAGATGCACTTTTTTCCCTCCAAATAATGGGGGAAAATGTGTGTGCGTCTTATGGAGCGAAAATGGAGTGGCCGGCCCAGTATTCCTGCCACCGCCGTGTTAGAATGCTGGGTCGGCCGCTTGGTTCTTCTCTGCAGTAGAACCTTACCTGTTCCTCGGTCCAGCGGTGTCCTCACGGTCTTCTCTCCCAGCGTGAGCATCATTAGTGTGGGCACCCGGCTGTGACAGCTTGCGACTTCACAGTTGGGTGCCCACTGCGCATGCACAAGAAGCACTGTACTTTGTGAATGGTATGGCAGTCTTCTGGGACCTATCATGTGTCGCAGAAGATGGGGAGGGAGGACGTGGGAGTGGGTACCTGTCAAATTCGGGTACCTGCTCCCCCCCTCCAAATGTCCACAGTCTCTGGTCATCTGTAGTATGTCCGCAGTCTCTGGTCATCTCCTGTACTATGTCCACAGTCTCTTGTCATCTCCTGTACTGTGTCCATAGTTTCTGGTCATCTCCTGTAGTATGTCCGTAGTCTCTGGTCATCTCCTGTACTATGTTCGCAGTCTCTGGTCATCCCCCGTACTATCCCGCCAGTCTCTGGTCATCCCCTGTACAATGTCCGTAGTCTCTGGTCATCTCCTATACTGTGTCCGCAGTCTCTGGTCATCTCCTGTACTATGTCCGCAGTCTCTGGTCATCTCCTGTGCTGTGTCCGCAGTCTCTGGTCATCTCCTGTAGAATGTCTGCAGTCTGTGGTCATCTCCTGTACTGTGTCCGCAGTCTCTGGTCATTTCCTGTACTATGTCTGCAGTCCATTGGTTCAGAATATTTTTTTTATTGTTTTTCTCCACTAAAACCTAGGTGCGTCTTATGTCAAATGCGTCTCATGGAGTGAAAAAATACGGTACATACTCTGTTAAATTTTAAGCACTGGTCTCTAGTAGCGCATTGACTGTACTGACAGCTTTCCTGCTTTCATGATTTAGGCATATTTTATGTTGAGATTTGTGTCACAGTTGACACTGCCAGGTACCACAGAGAGAGTTCACAGGCCATTCCATCAAAATTTTGCTATGAGACCCAAAGGTCTTCAGTTATGTCCCTGCTGTCCAGGCTTTATAATCTGCCACATTACTTCCTGGGAGCACAAACGTATTATAGAGTTTATGAACCCTGAACTAGTGCCCTTTAATCCCCATTATAAATCTCTTTATGAGTTAACTGGATCAGAAATATATATACTGTACATGGCTACGTGGTTTGGCACTTCTGTATACTTTTAAAATAATATGTTATAAGCTGAAATTCTCTTTAAAAAGAGTGAGATCTACTGAAAGCCAAGTATTTAAGGAAAGAAATATAGAGATTATCTCATTGTTTATCTTTAACCTGCTGCAGTTTCTTTGGGGAAAATCTTTTTAGACATGGTTGTGAAATGTACTCAGATCTGTTATGTAAGTGGTCCCAAAGAGCATATATATAAGCTGAATTTGAATGTCTTTCATTTGCTTCACACACTTTCTGCAGCTTAAAACATAAAACTCAAGTTTGCTTTCCATTGTATAAATACAAGTTTACAATGCAAACTTCTCACCAGCTGGTGCTTCAGAAAGGCAAGATCCCATGGGAAAATGAATCCTCTGCTGGCATAACAACCCTGGATAGTTTACCTAAGAAACCCATATTATTTACTTGGAGGCAAACAGAAGAACAATTAGTTGTATCAGAAATATTGGCATAGCCTAATATTGGCATAGTCATTTCAGGTCATATACTACTGTAGTACTACTTGTGTTCATTTTAAAAAGATTATTTATAATCAGTACGGGCTCTCTGATAATGAAACAGATAACCTCATTTATTTATCTTGTTAATCTTTGCATAAACATTTATTTACAATGTTTACTGTTCAATGATTCATAGAATTTTAATATTGAATTATAACAGGGTCTACTAGGTAATGTTCTAGGGTCTAAGAATGCACATATAGTAGACCGTGAACAGTGATTAGACCTTTAGATGACAGATGTACAACCAGGGTCTAGGGGAAGATGGAAGCATTCATCTAGGGGGTTGGCTACTCTTCTGGGTAGGGAAACTAATATAAATGAATATTGACTATATAATATGCATACTCATCTAATGCATTCCATGGTCATTTCATCAGTGGGAACATGTATGAAGCACATTTTCTTAGTAAGTAAAATAAGGGTTTAAAACCCATTTACCAATTTACTAACAATTGTTAAGAGATTGTATGTCTAAATCAATGTGCTTTGTGATTTTGTAGACAGCTGTCGGTGGTTGGCCAGTGAGGAACAGAGGACGCCTGGCCATGTGTGTGCTCCAGGCAAGAGAAGACGCCATAGGAACATTGTGCTCTGGCAAGAGAAGACTCCATAGGAACATTGTGCTCTAGGCAAGAGAAGACTCCACAGGAACAATGTGCTTTGGGCAAGAGAAGACTCCATAAAACATTGTGCTTTGGGCAAGAGAAGAATCCATAAAACATTGTGCTCTCGGCAAGAGAAGACTCCATAGGAACATTGTACTTTGGGCAAGAGAAGACTCCATAAAACACTGTGCTCTGGGCAAGAGAAAACTCCTTAGGAACATTGACTGAACCAAGCATGAGTGCTTGCAACTCTAAAGTTCTTGCTTTAAGTTTTAATCTTATATTGAGTGGGTAGATTGATATTACTTTGTTAGCTACTTATAACAGGGTATACATAGTTCTGTTTCACTGTATGTGTGTTTTTAGATAGATCAATGTTTCTTTTTTCTTACATACAGTATACTGTATGTTAATCTGTTTTTAATCTTTGATATTTTTAAATCAGTAAATATATCTTTATTACACCCTATATATGTGGCTGCTCCCTTGAAGATTGCTGAAAGAAAGAACTTGAGTTAAAGTGATTCTGTTGCTTGAAAATAATTTTGTAAAAACAAACTTGCATATGGGCATCCATACTGTAAAGATGTGAGGGTCCTTTGCAAACCTAACCTTAAACCCTTGTAGAATTTTATTTTACTGATGAGGAGGACTAATCCAGGAAGATAGAAAACAGGATACTCTTTTTTTGTGTCAATAAGTTTTTATTAGACTTAATAGCAAATACAAGTGGAACAGCATAAGCAGATGCTAAGGGGCCTGAGCTCCAAAGAAAGCAAACAATAACAAAAACAAAACAGTACTGCACAACTCATTTGGATCTTCATATAGTAATGGCTGGATGACATAGCATCAGTGATACCAGGAGATATAATAATAAGATACAACAATCTTAGGTTCAGGTTTCGTGAACAGAACTCCACTCTATCGATGGTTGCCAAACCTTTAGGAAGGATGCGTATGAATGATTACTAATGGCAAGGACCCTTTCATAAGAGAAGTTAGTTCTGACCAAGGACAGTACTTCTGAGGGATTAGAGGATAATTGAGATTTCCAATTTCCTTTAATCATGGTTTTAGCAGCTAAAAGAATATGCATGATAATGGTGCGATATTCTCTTGTCCATTGCTTCACTCCTAAGTTAAGTAGCACTGGGGCTGGGGTAATGGGTAATAGGAATCCAGTTATATTGGATAAAATACTAGATATTTTGAGCCAAAAGCTGGTTAGGCATTTGCATGTTCAAAGTATGTGATACAGAGATCCTATTTGTGCACATTCCCACCAACACATAGGGGAGCCGATGGAGGAAAATTCAGATATACCTATTGGGGAATAGTACCATCTGGAAAAATTTTTTTAGCTAATTCCCTGTGCTTAACATTTTGAGCCACAACATATAAGGAGCTGAAGGCATTAAGCCATTGAATGTCTGAGAACTGTCGGTTGAGGAAACAGGTGACTCTTGAAAGGTATTTTCCAGATCTTTTTTAGGGGAAAATTTAAAGTATATTTTTTGTTTGGAAAAAAAAATCTATATGCAAAGCAAGAGTTTTAATATTTGCCTATTTGGCAGGTGACAAGACCTCATTTTACAGTCTTTAAAAGCTACTGCTTCCAGTAGGATCTTCAGTATCTAAAATTTTCAGGTGTGTCAGATCACCCCCACCCCACACACACTGTGATTCCATCTGCTTATCCCTACATCACCACAGGGGAAAGTAGTGATATAGAAGCCAGTGAGACATACCCCAATGTCCAGCAGGGGAGCAGACACCAAACATACCTGGAAGTTTGTCAGAATAATTAATAATTGCTGAATAATATTCAGTTCCAGAGTGGATGTAAAGTTCAGACTCCCTGCAGAGAGGCAAGTATTAATAGGTTTCTTTTGCAGGAAGTTTTTTTTTCTAGCGATTGAGTTTCCTAACCCTATAAAGATACTGTGCCAAGAATCTCCTGGTTGTATTTTTTTCTACTTCAGTTCTCTTCCTTTGTAAAAAAAAAAAAATGTGATTAGAGTTAAGGCTTGGGAAGCAAAAAAAAGATCTCCACATTTATACAGTGAGGCTACTCCAATGGAACTAAACAAATCTCAGTAGTGATGTATATATTACTTGGTCCATGGAATTCTGGAAGATTCCTATGAAGCATAATTGCACTTGTATACATTTTTCTTTTAAAAAAGTTGATCTTAGAAGCATATGCAGAAAAATAAACTCTGCAAATATTACTTAATATTTATATTGTTTGCATTTCCAAAACCTTCAGGTTTGCCCAATAGAGAATGTTAAAATAGAAACAGTATTTTGGTTATATAAGTGTATAGTCAAATATCAACAGTTGTGGGCACAACATGATAACTTTCCATAGGGAGCAATGGATACGTCAAAAATCTATAAAACTAACAAATACAGCAGTAACTATTACTTTTTACAAAGTTTATTGTTTAAAGCAGAACTAAACCCACAGGTGTGATGATTTCCCAAAACTGTTTCTTTCAAGGCATGCCTTAAAGAGTATATAAACCCAACAATTCATATTTATATGTGCCTGCTGTGCCATGTACTTGTATGAAAAAGTATCCTTTTTGTATTGCTTCCTTTGTGTGAAATCCTTGGTGTTCCTGTCAGTCCCTCTGCTTTCCAGTTAAAACTGACCACACTAGGCATGCGAGAACAGGTCAGTTCTCTGGCTGTTCTGGGAACTCTGTGAGCTCTCCTCCAATGATAAAACTTGTTCTGGCATCCCCCCCCTATACAGCCATTCACTGGAAAGTTCAGTGTGTTGCTGTTTCTTCACCCTCACCTCTCTATGCAGCTGGGAACAGAAGGTATTGATTACTTACAGAAAAAAGGAAAAAAAAAAGTATTTATAATATGATTATATTAATATACATACTGTATATATAAAATATATTCCCAATAGGCCTGTGCATGCATTTGGCATACCTATTCACGCTCATACTCAAGAATATACCCTATAGGAATGTATGAGTATGGAGCACATGTGTGCATACGACTCCAAAAACCTACTAAAGTTTCTATTTTTTTTTCCAAGCATAAACACTGTTTCCCTTTTGTCATATATAATGTGATTGTAAATGCATAACAACCATGCCATACTTACCTGCTCTGTGCACAGAGCAGCCCTGATCCTCCTCTTCTCGTGTCCCCCTGGCAGTGTTCCTGGCTCCTCCTCCGAGCTGAGTGTCCCCATAGCAAGCCACTTACTATGGGGGCACTTGTGCATGCTGACTCCCATGCTGCCTTTTTTGTGTCCATAAGACAGAGCCTCTGTGTTCGTGCACATCACTGGATCGAGATGGGGCTCAAATAAGTATGGGGGGGCTGAGGGGGTTGCCGCATAGGAAAGGTTTTTTACCTTCATGCAGAAAATGTACTAAGGTAAAAAAGCTTCAGTCTTTACAACCACTTTATTGCTACAGAAACAGGGAACTGTGTACATATTAAACATTTATCTTTTCTGTAAATAGCAATTATAATATTGCCCGAAAAAGAGCTGTTGTTTAGCAACTTGTTAGGTCTTCATTAGGAAAACACTGATTATGTTATTTTTATTGATTCACACTTTGGAAGTGTAAATGTTAGCAGGTGTATTCATCGTGCACTTTACAGCTTCTGATACTATTGAAAATAACAGCTCTTCCCTTGTAAGTCATTTAAGGTGAATCTGAAAGATTACAGTAGTTTGACAGTAAATGCAGTTTGCAGACGTACTGAAGAGCTGTCATTTTGTACTACATTTAACTCATGATGAAAAAGCGTATAATGTTGTTCTCTCTGGGAAATAATTTTTTCCCTTGCATGATTAACACTGTGTTCAGTTTACAATAAACCTGCCTACATTTTCTGTTCAGTTTTAATAGGTACAACATTTTGTTGTTTTCAATATTAAAGGCACTTTCATTGGGACAACATTTATATTTTATAAGGAAAGCTGTAGTCTCTATGTATTGCTGCAAAAGCTTAGCTAGGCTTTTCAGATTTGCAAAAAAATACCTCTAGCTGTAAGTTCTCGTTGGAAACCTAGGATGTAAAACAATCGCCAGTAATAATTCAGAATAACAAAAGTCCCTTTTTTAATTTTTTATAGCCACTCTAGCTGTATGTTCTCGTTGGAAACCTAGGATGCACTGTACTCCAGACTTAGGTGTTTTATCTATCCTTTGGGGCATTAATGTAGAATCATGGTCAAACTAACACACAAATATATTGCGATCCCCCTTAAACTCCTCAATAACTCTCTTGGGAGATTGGCCACCAGAAAGGGTGACTTCTCAGTAAAATACCTAGCAGGATTTGTGTATTCTGTATGTGGTTATTCTAGAAACTAGCAGACATGCATAGCTTGAGTAAATATATGGTTCCTGGATAGCATGTGAAGAGTGTGAGGGAGGAATACTATCAGCTTTGCATCTGGTTCCATCAGACACACAACGATAGAACAAAATTCAGGGATATGGGAAATATATGCATCTACACAGAGGCTAGATAAGGGGAAAAGGTGGGAGGAGAAAGGGTTTGAAAAAAATAGAGGACCTTGTCCCAGGACTGCATACAGTTCAGAATACAAGAGGAGTAGAGTATCTTCTGGGGAAACTGTTATGTAAACCCTTCTGTCTAAGTCTATTGATAGGAAATCTCTTTATATTGAAATGAATAGAAAAGTGCAGACCTTCTATCATCCACAAGATTGAAAGAGGGGGGCAGTTGAATAAAACTGTCGAAATCTCTTCTGCAACCTGAGTGTCACATGACCAAAATGACACGTGAAGCCACTTATTCCTTGTTGGGTGGCCATTCTGACAGCACTTCTGCCCTTTTTATTTTTGTTTTTTAAACTTTAACAAAAGCAGCTTTACTGACATAAGCAGAAAAACACTAAACACATACACACACTACTGTATGTTACTATATATTTATGTAGGTGGTGGTATACATTTTTTAGACATATGTCTTTATTTTGTATGTACTGTATGCATTTTCTTGAAATCTTGAAGCCAGCAATGTTTTGATCTGATGTATGCAGTTGTCACTCCCCACTGGCAATAGAAAATAGAAAAAATATTATATTCAATCTGCCATGGTGATCACATGATTTTATCAACAACCCTTGTGATCACCATGTTACCATTTACATAGTATTACAGTATTTTTTTTATAAACAAAGCAATTCATCACCAGCCTATTTAGCTATTTTCATCTAGCAGTGCCACGTGGTAAAATAATATGCTAATTTACACAAAATTTCAGCAAAATTAGCCACTCATTCCCTAATGGCAAGTAGCAGAGATTTGGTTCTCTACTCAGTGGAAAGATACTACATTTTTCTTACCAAGAGTGGCTATAAAAAATGAAAAAAAAAGGGATTTTTGTTATTCTGAGTTGTGCTGGTGATTGTTTTACACTCCTTCTTCAGATAAACAATATACTGTAACTATCCCCTGACCTTACTCTGTATCCCTCAGCAGAAAATAAAAAAAGATCCAAAATCATTACAATCTGGCAAATCCTTTACATGCACATAAATATTATCAGCAAAAAACTGTTCAAATAAAATTGTATCATATGGTTGTTACTTTTGTTAGGCTGATGCTTTCAGAACAAGGATGATATTCTAATACTTACAAGTGAAAACCCTTTTTCAGCATTAATTATGCATAGTGAAGAGTTCATGCAAGGACTTTGCTTGTAAACAGATTTATTACTGAACCTTAAATGTATATTGAGTACAAGAACAATTGAGTGGAAATAATGGCAGTAAAATAACAACATTAAATTGTTAATTTGATATATGCAGATAGAGTCTTTCTAATAAGTAAATAATTTTAACTATAATTTGCACTCCCAGGTTACATTTATAAATACGTTTACCTTGCTCACATCCTTTGGAAACTTCATATATCATCAGCTAATCTAAAATATGAAGAAAAGTAAATACATAATTAAAATCCAAATGAGTAAGTCATGTATAATTAGGATGCTTTTAGCGGGCATGGGCTTATTAGATATCCAGGCACCCTCTGAACAAAATACAGTATAAATACTTACTTATAAAGGACATAGGTATAATAAGCAGAGACAATAAGGATGTAATAACCATATAAAAATGGCAGTGGTACTCTTTCAAAATAACAAAAGTACCTTAATTGCTTCTAAACATGAACTGGTGAATCCTTGAGTTAAAGTGTTACTAAACTCACAACAGTAAAACCAGTCTGTATATGCAATAAAGCATGCTTGTTATACTCACTGTGGAACCTAAGGAATTAATCCTCTGCATTGTGTAAAAAGGCTGTTTGATCCTTTCTTCTCTGATCCTTCCCTTCTTCCAGTGCCCCCCTCTTACCTCGTAATAAGACATATTATGTGGAGTCACTCTGCGCATGCTCAGTTTGGTGTGTATTGCTAGAGAGGTTTTTTTTCTTCTTGGGAGAGTGCATGTGATCAGCACAGGGCCAATCAGCACTGTCCAGACAGAGGTCAGGGTTTCTGAATCCTCCTAGAGCAGAATGAAAACTCCTCCTACAAGTTTTAACATGTGCTGGGCTGGACACTGATAGAAGTTACAAGATTGCTATATACTGCTGCTGAGAAAAGATGTTTAGCAGTTTATATTTTGTAAAATAATTGCATTTCCACATTCTGTGTACTGTGGGAGACCAGATATAGTGAATGCAGGGTCCTGGGTTTAATAACACTTTAAGGAGTACCGAGATCACACAGGAGCTCTTAACTGGCACACTCTTCCAAGCATAACAATTTGATTCTAGAATTGAAGTCAGCACGTTGGGTTAATATAGCAGATCTGTAGGTGCTGTATAGACATTATCCAAGAAATTTAAACATGTGCGAAGGAGGTCTCAAGGTGGATTTAGCCTGTAATCTGTGAAGAAAGGTGATTTCCACACATAGACTTCCACAGGGACCACTGAGACCTCATATATGTAGTAGAGAGGTCTCCAGTTGGATTTATCCAGTGACAGAGGATGTACAAATAGCCAAACATTGTTTTTTACAGGGACCACTGAGACAGCATATATGTGATTTAATAAGATCTTCAAGTCTCTAGGTGGACCAAGTGTTAACCACAGGATATCTGGAACTAGTAGGGATATAAAAAAGTACAATCCACAAAAAACTACCATGTTTAGGATTTGGGCAATAGTTGAAAAAAAAAACCTTGTGGTGAGTCTTTATATTATGATGGAAGGCTGTACAAGAATAAATGAATTCCGTTAAAATATTGCATGCTTGGATTTTCTTTTCTTGCAATAGGTAAAACAGATAACTGAAATGGAAGATACTTAGCTGAGGGTGCAGGAAGAACTGCCTAAACCTTAGTAAGGAAGGCACTAGTGGAAATAAAGGAGACACTCCTCTCGATTCTTACATAGCTACTTAGTATTGGTTGAATGTCACAATTCTTTTTCAACCCAATATTTAAAGAACTATGTAACTTAGGTTGAGTATTAAGAAAAAAATGGTCAGCAATTTTATATTAGACTACTTTATGATGGTGAGCAGCAACACTAAGCAGAGGAAGATCTGCCAAAGGTAAGTGATTGGTCAGTGCCCTATCCTGTGCACTGGATGAACTATGTACTGAACACTAGGTTATTTGTGACCACTGTCACAAAAGAACATTTCTGTGCTTATTTCCTAGAAAAGTGGGGCAAAATGGAAGGAGACTAGATAACTATTATGGATACTAACAATCAACAAAATTTTTTGCAGCACTACTCCCTAAGGAGCTTAGTACATTGGGTCCTCTGTTCTTTGCCTCGACTCTATGAATGACAATGACATCAGCCCCTTTGACATATCAGGTTAAGCGGATAACTGCTGTTGTGTGCAATTGTAACTCAGTATATGAAGATAAACACCAGACTGGCTAGGAGTAAAGAAATATTGTAGTGAAGTGGCAATATGCACATATAGAGATGGTAGACAGTATGCCTAATATAACTCTCTAGATAGAAACATTACTTTGTGGTAAGTGTTTAAAGTAATCACCACAGTTAGATAACTATATAGCTAGCAAACTACAAATCAGTGTTAAACCAAAGCACAAACCACAACAACAATAATGGTAATCAGCATTGGTGTAACTTTCCTGCTACCAGTATGGGCAATGACAAGAGTCCTAGTAGGCTTATCTAAAGAGACAGTCCTATGCCCTAGATCTTCAGTCGGCTAACTGTGGAGCCTGTCTTGTCTCTGTGTACCTGAACTGTTCTCACTCTCTGGCTCCCAGATTCATGAGGCCCCGCTCCAGTTACCCACGGCAAAAGACCTCGGTATTCAAACTGCAGCCTGGGAAATACAGCTGTTTTCCCCTCCTGTGTTGCTGCATCCACCTGGGAATTGTATTCCAATGGTCAATAAAAGTCTACAGTATGACTTCCTTTCTGAACTTCAATTCTTACATTGCACTGAGGCTAGCATAGAGGTCTGTGGAGTTCCTTGGCTTTCTGGCTCCCCGTGGCGGCAGGAAGCAGACAATGAGATGAATCCAGCATATCAGTTCAGTGACAGTATAAAGAGCTACTGAAAACTGTCAAAGTTTATTCATTATAGCCAAGTACCTGGCTACATTTGTAAGACCTAATACATACAGACATCAGCTTGTACTGGAAAAAATGTATAGAATAAACCTTTACAAATCATTTGCTAAGCTTTCAACCAGCTTTCATCAGATCTGCTGAAGCCTTCACCACAAACATCTTGTTTGTGACTACAGATTGGGGCATTATACACAGATTTTAGTGGGGGGTGCTGGCTGACATTTTAAACAAGCTACAAGTTTCAAGTGGTGCTGAAGTTGGAGATGAAGGTTACTTTAGCGCAGGGTTCTCTAAAATTAAACAAAGAGCCAATTTACCATTCTTCAGATTTTAGAGAGCTGGATTGTGGCCAGTAGGAATAGAAAATGTCCTGGCAAGAGTGGCAAGTAAACAATATCTCAGGCTTTGTGGTCTTTGTGGGACATAGTGGGGCATAGAGCCTGTAGTGATTAGAAGGAAGAATATTTCCCCATTGTTGGTATCAGTGGGAGGAATATTGCCCCATCATTGATATCAGTAAGGAAAATAGTGGCCCATCATTGGTATCAGTGGGAAGAATAGTGCCCCATTATTGGTATCAGTGAAAAGAACAGTGCCACATTATTGGCATCAGTGGGAAGAATATTGCCCCATCATTGGTACAATATCAGAAGGAAGACTAGTGCCCATCATTGGAATCAGTGGAAAGAATAGTGCCGTATCATTGGTATCAGTGGGAGAAATAGCGCCCCCTCGTTGGTGTCAGTGAGAGGACTAGTGCCTCAAATCAGTGAGAGTAGTGCATGTCCCAAGGCCTCTATAAAGGCAAGCAAATGTCTGCATCTGGCCTGCAGACAGCAGTTTGCAGACCACTGCTTTAGAGGCTTCAACAAAAGCTGTTGGGGTTGGCTGAAAATGTTGTAAATGCTTTGTAACTGCATGCTGTATTCACTGCTTTTAGGCAAGTTGAAGCAAGTATGTATAAAGCAAAAAACTTTCCAGAATGAACCTAAACTGCCTGAAAGTATTGTACAATAGCTTCCTATAACCACCACAACCCAAAAGCAGGTAGTAATCATGGATAGGCTATCTTTGAAAACACTTATTCACAGAAGCCTACCCCACCTAAGAACTGTACTTGAATCACCTCCACCAGATCACCCCCTGCAGCTACCTTATGTACCACCTCCCCCTTCCTTTAGATTGTAAGCTCCACAAGCAGGACCCTCCTATTCCTTCTGCACTGAAATGTATTGTAATTGTACTGTCTCCCTTATATTGTAAAGCGCTGTGCAAACTGTTGACACTATATAACTCCTGTATAACAATAATAATAATAATGGATAGATGACGATGAGATTATTTATTTCTCTGGACTAGCAGCTCGTAGGTAAGGTTGGTATATCAGAACAAAAAATGAAAAGATTCTTTAGTGGTCATCCTCCAGGCATTTTTGTGGATCTTTTTATTACTCACTGGGATTGTGAATAATATACCCTACAGAGTATCCTTATAAAAGGCAGAGGAGGAAGCATTTGGAGGCTGAACAGGAGATCCTTGGCTTTCTGGAGAGGTATTAGCTGGAGATATAAAGGATCCAGAGTGATCCTGAAAATGCTTGTTGGGCCCTTTTGGGTCACAGGAAGGAGGTGAGGAGGCACTGCAGCTGGAGTGGATTTAAAGTGTGCCGGCACTTGCACAAAGTGTTCACATTTAACACGTTGCATGGTGTTTTATCACGTTTTATCAGACTTATGGACTTATTAGTACTTGCTTTAAAAGGTTTGATTATTACCCATACACTAGTATTGTCCTTTTATATCACGGTTCTGATTAGCACTTTATTGTTATATGTATATTTTTGGTTTGTTGATTTATTAGCACTTTATGATTATATGGATACACATTTATTTTTATTCATTTTTATTCACTTTTGTAGTTAGCGCTGCACCATTCATTTTCATTTTTTGTTCTGATTGGTATTATTATTGGGTGTTGGCCGCTATTGGTTAGGATATTTCCGTATCAGCGCAGGAGGATTTTTAGTTTTTCTTTTCATCAAGATTGGTATATCACCTATTATAATGGGGAGAACTTGCATCTTACTTCAACCCAGGAACGGACTGACCATTTGGAAACTCGGGCACTGCCCGAGGGCCCAGGGTCAGTAGGGGGCCCCATGAGATGCCCCTGGTACCTTTTTCATAGGCTTTTTTGAGTTTGGGCAAGGACACAGGGGCCCCATGATCCCATATTGCCCGGGGGCCCCATGAGTTGTCAGTCCGCCCCTGCTTCAACCTTTAATAGCAGCATTAAAAGTCACCATCCAAAAGGATGTCTATAGACAGAGTGTTTTAAGATTCTCTAGGATATACTGTATAGAAAAATGTACCATCTCACAGCAAGACCTATTTGACAATCACTATTGTCTGAACAAGCTGTTACATTTTTGGTTAGGATTTCCATTATCAGCAGGGACACTGAGGAAGTAGGAGGATGTTGTGGGCCTATGTACTGACTGCTTTTTCCACTGAAGTTATCAGGGGGCAGTGAGATGGACAAGAAGGACCAGTCCCCCATCATGGGCACCAAATTCTCATTTGAACTGCAACTGCTATCTCAGCTTGACTGTTGCTAGGGAATATGTGTCATAGCCTATACTACATAATATCATATAGTAATCAAACAATATATATATATACTATACATACTACTACATGATACCTCGGAGTAGCTGGATGATCTCAGAATGAATGGGGGAATTTACACTGGGGTGAAATGTAATAATGTGCATACATAAACATTCCCTTCTGCACAGTACACTGAAGACCACTACTTTTTTTTTTTTTTACATAAAAAAGCTCTATTACTATTTTAAAAAATTGATAAGGACTGATCAAATGCATGCCATAGCTTCCCTTCATTGGATGCAACCCACCCAACACATAAATGTTCAGCTATCCCTTGGGCTACAGATAAAC